GAAAATTATTTTTTGTTGAATCATCAAAATAATTTGTTGGAATGTTAAAACTAATAAGTATTGCTATCAAACGTTTTAATATTCTAGCAATCATTTTGACTTTCCCACAAAATTATTTTGATAATTGAACGAAAATTATTTTCAGATCTGGATTCAGCAAAATTGTTCTTTCCGTGTATATATACACGTTTTCCGAGCAATTTAAATAGCACGGGCCGCTCTATGTCCACCAGTGTACGTGGACGTGGGCGAAGGCAACGAACCAGTCACTTTAAACTTCCGGCTGCCAAGCGGACTGCAGTCACGAATGTGGGAGATGCGGGTAGTGCAGCTGGCTTTCGAGCAACGTGCGCCGGTCGGATGTCTCCAATACTTTCGTTCGCCAAACGGCACGCTGAGGACATTCAATTACCTACCGAACGGCCGATACCTCGCCGAGCACGATTACCTATTATGCGTACGTCAGGAGCGGGACATGTGCGGTATCGCCTATCAGCCGTGCACGCGAGACTCTTTTCGGATAGGTCCTAATAGGCCTCAGGACACGTCCAACACGACCGGCGGCGCCGCGGCCTCCGCAATAATGATCGCCGCCAACGGCGGAAACGCCTCCGCTGTCAATCTAAACGTCGCTTCTGCAAACGCTTCCGGCACGGACGTCCTCGAGGGATCGGGCGCGGGATCACCCGAGCAGGAAATGGTTTTTGCTTCTAACACGAATTCGGTGCCGTTCCTCGGGAGACTGTGCAGGGACCGGATACTTATTCCTTGCGACTTTGAGGAGTTTATTACAGTACGTCGTGTTTAATTAATATTTTCTTAATCATAATTGCTATACGTAGAGGATATTGTATCTAGTAATATATAAGCTATGTTGTGCTTGTATTATTTATAGCAGAGAAAACGCTAAACAGAAAAATGCTGAAACAGGAAAAAGAAATTGACGTTGGCTAAGAATTTCGCAGCATTAATGCAATTGGATATTTACTTTTCATTTTACATGAAAGAATCCATGAAAAAGTGACTAAGTATAAAATCCATATGAGACTACGCATCAGAGACAGAGGATTGTGCTAGGATTTAACCAGTCAGATAATTTAAATTTTAATCCGTTTCATTTTAATTGGGGTTGAATTCTTATCTTCAGTTCATATAATCCTTGATCTCCAATACGTAGTTTGATACGAGCTTAAATGTGCAGATTGTCATCTTGCATCTGTTATAGAATTGATTACCCTTGAAAAAATTTTTCAAATTTACATGATAATTTGGAAGATAAATTAGAAGATCAAATATTAGTATACGAGAGAATTTATTGCGGTATAACTTTGGCACACACGGAAGCGATATCTCGTTTGATATGCGGCGAACGTACGTCTGTTTCAGCCGGGGAACAACATGGCAGGTATCTGCAACTTGGAACGTTGCGGCAGCTCGCTGTGCGGCCAAAACGAACTCGACGCGGAGGGTAACTGCCGGGTCGAGACCTGGACTACCCCCTTTCGCGTCAGGGTGGCGTTCGGCCCGGGCGCCAACATGGACGGCACATTGGAAGACAATGCCGGCGTGTGTCTCACGTACCAGCAGTTAGCTTGTGTAGCCTGAGCGCGTTATAATTATCCTCACACTCACCGCGCGCGAGGCGCGCACAAAGCGCAAAGCGGAACGCTAGACGACCTATAAATGCGAAGAACAACACGTCACTGTCGTACAGAAGAAGGAAGCGTCATCGACTGCGACTGCATCTGCGGTACTGTCTATGCAGCACCGTTCGCCGCGGCGGCATTGTTACGCGATCGTTACGTCGCTTTCGCGGCGGGAAATATATAGGAAGATATTTTCGAACGGGAATATATAAAGGAGATTTCGATTGCCCGGGTTTTGGCTCGTTCGGCTTATAGACTGATGGATGCGGGATTACGGGACGGGAATTATGGGATTTGGTGAAAGGGTGAGGGGGATGGGAGGGAAGGGGGTGAATTGGTATTGTGCTGTAAAGTCATTTAATACCACAAAAAAAGTCAAAGAGTCAAATAGTTTTTATTTACAAATGAACTAGCTTAAATCGTAAACGCAGCGCACAACTCTCGATATAGTGATAGATATATATATATATATATTATGTATAGTATATATATGTACATATATATATACATATATGTATGTGTATATATGTATATATGTATATATATAATTCACCTTTGTGTCCCGCTTCTTTTTTTTTTCTCTTATTCGATTACCCGTCACGATCATCGGCTACGATACGCAGTGTGTTAATCACGGGGCACCGGTATCTCCCACGGTTCGAGACTCCTCGAACGCGAGATCAGCGGCTAGAACGCTTATCTCTATGTATGTATAATGTACGATGGTTAAGCTTCCGCTGCGGAAGGCGCCGACGACAATCACGGCAATCGTTAGCGATAACGGTAATGACGTTACAAGAATAAATTATAATTGTCGTTAATACAATATAACTGTCGACGATGACAACATCACCTCGAATTGCTCTCCTATAGAAGAAAACGATGCGCTCGCCTCCGTCCCGCCTCCGCGGGGAGGACGAGATTTCGCGAGATTAAGATTTCGCGTTAGTCTTTCTTTTATACAAGCTATACCTTCGCGTATATCTATATGCGTCGTGTATAATAATTATAATTCGCAATTCATAATGGTAACGATAAGAAAAAAAAAATTAGCGGTACAATATTAATGGAGACAATTCGACGACAATTGGTGAACTGCAGCGGTTACCTCGGTGTCGTCGTCGGCGACGTCGCTGTCGTACAATTCGAAATCATACGTATCTACCTACGAAGTCAAAAGGGCTGTTAAAGTAGCGTAAGAGAGGGGTCGGTGGTCGCGACGAACGTGTATGCAAATATATGTATAGGTATACGTGATTACGCGTGTCTCTGTGTTACGGTCACTTTGGTGCAGGGGCACACGATTTTTTCTGTCCTATAATAATACTCTCTACCGATACAACTTCGGATGTCCGTGGGGCATTTAACCCGCGAAGTGCTGAGGCCATATGTTTCGAGTAAATCCCACACGCGGAAGAGTTTAAGTTTAAATAAAGGATTTAAGGATTTATTCCTTCTTCTCTCTTTTCTCTTATCGGAACATTACATCGAGTTTTCTCATTTTACGGCTGTCACGTGTATCAGCTGGAAAATGTCTCTCCCCTCCCCCACTCCTCCCAACGCGATAATTTAACGGAGAAATCAAACGTTCGATGGATGGTGTCTTCAGATCGATTAAGCGCCCCACCGCATCCGATGCTTTGAGCTACGTGTTCCCGAAGAACTGTCGGACGTTCGTCGTTGTATTTACATCGTCGAGCGATACAACGGAGCACTGTACAATTCGCGATGCTTACGGGTGTGCGCAGGTAACGCGAGACTCGCTCAAGTAAATGACGGTATACCACGATGTGGCACGATATCGAATTCATGCGGAGATATTTTTTTTTCGAATATCCGATAAAAGATTCGGGGATCTGCTCGGGCTGAGGCGAGAATCCGAGACGAGTTCGGATGCTCGGTAATCTCCGGTAAGTTTCCCCCCCGAGAGCGTTTGTAAAATTTATTCACGTAATACGAAATTCTCGATACAAGATACTGTTTTTTTTTCTGTATCTAAATATACCTGCGGTGAGAATTATCGAACAATCCGAGAAGTTGTCGTACATTCGGAGTGTCCGTTCGGACGTACGAAACTTCTATACGGTTTTATTCGAAATTATCAAGTATCCTGACGTCCAGAGAAGATTTGGAAAATGCAACTCGGTCTGTACCCGCGTAACCTGCACATCCCGCTGTGCGATTAACCGAATCCTACGTATTAGAAAACCTGGTATTTTAGAAAACCGGACTTTCACCCTCGATCCTGAAAGCGGTCAGCAGCGGAACCAACGGAAAACGCCAAACGAAAAGGCAACGAGAGCCCCCCCGGAGTCCGATCAGGATTGCCAGATTTTTCATCTCATACCACGATTGATTTCTGGATTTAATATTGCACAAGCGAATCGGGAAACGCGAAGATAATCGGAACTTTCATTCCGGATTCGGTTTGGCTGCATCAATTGGAGCGCGTAACATTAAACGGAAAGTAACAAGCACGTAAGTAAACACGTGGCGGGAATAAAGTTAAACGCGTACGTTAAACGGGCCAGCAAATGGATAATCAATAATCATTAATCAATTTCGATTAGTCGTGACGTTAGCACATCGCGTACGTTATCGCAGCCCCGCTGGCAGATCTTAAAGTGGGACGCTCGATGTTTAAAAGTCGGGGATGCGTGGGTCGCGCGTCGGGAAGAATCGGCGCGCGTTTTTCCGCCGATGGTGCGCACGGAAGAGAGAGAAAAAAAAGTCTGACTGGTATATATCCGGCAATCCCGCGGTCAACGTAAAAGCAACAAGGGAGCGAACGCGATGGTAAAGTTTCAAGCGGCAAACATATACATTACTGTAAATTATGCTAACGTATTACTGGCCGTCACGAAAAGAGTAGGTACCATAGAACGTCGCTACCAATGGTGCAAGCACTAGAGCAACAATGTGTGCGGATCGCACGTACACACGGAGTCTCTGACAATCACACACACACACACACACACACACACACTCACACACATTCACACACACACGCTTTCTTCCCCTTAAAAACTGTTGTGCGTGCGTGCTCATTGTACCCGCCGCCGATATGCATTTTCTTCTTTTTTTTTTCTCTTCTCCTTCCCCCTTTCCCTCGCCCATTTCTGGTCATTTTACTGGGTCATTTAAGATATACAGGGGAAACGACTGTAACTCGTAAAATTGATCGATGACTCTATTATATTATCGCGCGATTATCGTTTATCGAAGAAGAGACGTCGTTCGTATTACTCGTAACATTCTCTGCTTCACTCGACTTCGCCTTAACTTTCAGCCCTATTTGTGTTTTTGCAGTTTGCGGTAAAACAAAGATCGCACTTCGGTATACTACTGGATCGAACGGCAATGCTTTCCCCTCTTTTTGAATATGTTCCCGTAAAATTCGGCGCAAATTGCGGCATCGGACAATTTTTCCTTATACAAAAAACATCACGTCGGACTTATTGATTCGAGACGTTTACCACCCGGAGAAGAGCCGGAAGTAAGTATATCAGCCGAACGTGTTTACGGCTCGGAACAGCGTTTCCTGCGCGAATACGTATGTATACGCGCTCTCGTATCCAAGCGGTTTCCGTTTCTCTCCCGCGGTTCGGGCCGCGGAGGAAATAAGGGACATTTGGAGTCCTCGGCATCGATCTCTATGTATAACGTAAGCCCCGCGCGCGCTTTTTCCCGCTCTCTTATTTCGAGTCAACAGCATTGAATATTGCAACATGCATGCGAGCACATTCCGTGAAATATAACGTATGTGTGCGTGGACGTACACGTATCGGCGATATGGGATATAGTCTAGTCGAGGGTTGAATTATGGCTGGGTTCTACTTACAGGGCTGCATAACGGGGAGAGAGGGGGGGGAAGGGGATCTGTAACCGCGCGGTGCTCTGTGTGTGTATGTGTGTCACAGGAAATTGCAGGCATGTTATTTCCATTTAAATAATATGCAAACACCTATTTGCACCTGTCTCAATTTACACGTGGATTGCACTTGGATCGTTCTATTGCTCTATCCCGTTGCAAATATGATTTTTGAGGGACACGCGTTCCGAATGTATTCGCGTACTATCGGTTTTACGTGTACACGTAACGTAATTGGTATAGGCGTAAAGTGCCGAAATAAAAAGGAATACCGCAGAATACATTCTACACTCTCTATGCAGTAAAATTGGAATATTTACAAAATTGTTACTTCTAAGTTGGTTTTAAGATTTATCTAATTTTTTTTTGGTTTATGAATACAAGTAGATATGTTTCAGATATATCTTTTAAATTAGAAGGAGGGGCTGGAAAACACGCGTTAAAAAATCCGATTCGGAGCATCGGATATCACAAAAAATCGCCTACTATATGTAACACGATGCGGAATCCGAGTAGTATGATATATCCGATAGCATATTTCGACTTGTTCGAACGACGAACTGTGTCGAGGATTGCGCGGGTATTAATTTTCCTGTACAACTCTTTCTCGGAGTTGTTCAACATAGCAACTGCGTGGACAGCACGACCACAGCATAGACCGTGTACAGTCCCTAATGACTAAAGTGGTAAAGACAATATACACAGCCGATGCATAGTCGGTTTTGCAACCCTGGGTATGAAATCCAGTCTTTAAGGCACAAAGAATCGGGGCAATTGTGAGCAGCGAGCAAACTCAAGCCGATAGCATCGCACATAAAAATGAGGGCAAATGTAGAAAACGATCTTCCAACAAATTATTCATACTCCTTATTAGGCATGACCAACGGGGGGGGGGGGAGAGGTGATATACGTACGTATTACTGTTACAGATTTCGCGAAAAGTGTAACGCATGAATATCTCCGAAACGATTTGAATTATCGGAGACTTCTTTTGAATTTTTATATTTTACGCGAAAAATGAAAACGTTCACTTGTGATGCGTTCGTGTGCGTTTCTTTTATTATAGCGATCAAATTGTTGAATTAGCCAAGAAGATTTAAATATTAGATATATACAATAATTGAGCTTAAGAAGAAGAAATGATTATTTATTATCATTTATTTGCTTTCGTAATACTGATTATTTATAAAAAATATAGAATTATAGAATATTAAAAATAGTCAAATTACGTACATAATTTAGAAAAACATAAAAGTTTGCTAATTTATTAAATTAAAAATTATAGTTTTTGTACAATTTTTAAAAATTCACATTTATATTCAAAATACATCAATTCGTAATTATTCCGAAACGACATGTCTAAAATTAAAATACTGAGAAAAGGCTGTAAAGCTTCGTATAACGTTGTCCAATGTTATTATTCGACCAGTCATGTCTGTGCAAAGAAAACAAATTTTCTATTTACGTGGTAATCTAAAAAGAGCTTAAGCGTTCTCATAGTTTAATCAAATGTCTGTATCAACTTGATCCCCGCAAAACTATTTAAATGTTAATTTGCTGCCAACTTTTCACATTAATCTAATTTGCATGCCGGATTTATTATTCATTCAATTTCCATATCCATTTCCAGAAATATTCACTAATAGTATGAATAATTTTTATCATCCATCTAACTATACCTCTTTTTCTTGTAATAATATACGCTGTATACATTTCTTCGTACCGTTTACAGTTTTCTTTACGAATGCAATTGTATTATTTTGCGCGGCGGGACATTTATTTCGTCGTCATCAGATTAATTTTCTCCTTCAACGACACGTCAATCGTCTCTTTCTTGCTACCATAAACGGATTCAATATATAAGCTTAAGAAACTTAAAAATTACATGCAAATATATATATCGGGCAGTAATTTATTTATTGTAAAACGACACGCATAGAAATTTGCGCATGCATTCCTGAATTTAAAAAATGGTCCATTGCATTTCAAGCGGATGAGTATGAGAGGACAAAATTTGTGAGGCCAAAACGATGACAAGGAAAAGTTCCAAAATGTTTTGTCACCAAAGCAGGAAACGACAAATTTATAAGTAAAATCAAGCATTCGATGTACGAATGCACTTGGTCTTGGTAACACCGTATAAAACTTAATTACAAAAATAAATGTATATATCGTATTTTAACTTTTAACGTATAGAAGCGACGTTACGATTGTGCGTAATAAAATATCAGGATGGTAGGATTGTGTCAATAATACAGCTATATTATTACTACGTGGAGAGATAATTATGTTATTATTGTGTTGTTATTATTTAATATTATTCGAGTAAACCATAACGATTGCGGTCTAATTAAATTTGCAATACATGGAGAATGATATTAATTTAACAGCTAGAATCCGTCAGAAGATTCTTTTTTTTTACGGTCTCAATATTCTAGTATTGATAACGATTTCTATGTCGTGTCGAGATGTGCCACGAATCAAAAGTGAAATAAAAGCCGACAATGGGATGTTTGTAGATATGGTCGTCGTTGAATTTGTAAGACGTAATCAATCCGATCGTAATTTTGGTCCAAAGGAGAACGGCTGTCCCATCTCGAGTCACCCGAAGAAAGAAGAGAGAGAGAGAGAGAGAGAGAAAAAAATACGCAATCGCGTAACTACGATTAATCTTTGTCGAAGAAGCGACAATTGTCTATATACAATAGAACGTCCGCGCCGACTTGTTCGCGAGATCCGTACACTCGATCGCACATGTGCCTATATGATATGCTTTTGTGTGTCGTCCCTTCCTGCACTTCCTTCTACCCCCCCGTCTACTTCCCAGGCACAACACTATATATGTATACATGTAACGCGGAAGGAGATGCTCTTCCTTCGCTACTATTAGGGGAGCCGCACTGTAGACTCCGCGCGCGCGAGGGACAAGAACAGGAAAGCTGTTCTTTTCCACTGATATTACAAACTCTGATATATCTCGAATATCTGGGGGGGGAGGAGGAAGGAGCTCGTGGATTGGTCCCGGTGATATTCACGGTGCGCAAGGTGATATATGTATGCAGATCCGCACCCTCACCGCATTTACCACCAAAAGTGGCCGTCCGATTCGCATCGAGATTCCCGAATGTCAATAAATATCGTCCATCGTGTCCACATTTTCACCACTCATTTAACGCCGCATTACACCAGTATCGAACGTGGGGCTGCGTGATTCCGAATTTTGTCTGGATGTAGGTCCGGTGTAAAAAAATTAATCGACAGGGAGAACCAGACAGTCACCATTTAATGTTTAAACGCAGGTATGCGGTGAGAACGCGTGGATCGTGGGATCGGGCAAAAAACACATCCGATGCTAAACGTGCAGTGAACAACAGTCGTACGTTCGCGGGTGTGCGGAGGAAATCTACGACGGTGGTGCGGCGTACCAAAAAAGATACGGTGCATCTATCTTGGTATCTCTTTCGCTATATAAAACGAGCTGCAATGCAGGAGGGATGCAATTTCCACTGTCGCTTATTCGATTTACCGTTTACACGAGAATGGCACTAACGATAGAAATAATGTAGGCGCGCGATATAGACGATCGCTGGAAGATAGAACGAGGTTCTTCCACGATGAGTAATCGATTTTTTTTTCTCTTTAATCGGGGTAATGTGTATAGACCGCGGGGGTGATGATATCGACAATGGAAACGTATATATATATATATATATATATATCTTTAAAGGTAATAAAGTTTACGTCCCCGTTTCTACTGTGCGCAGCATATCCTTTGCCACAATGTACCCTTAGATCACCAACTATCTTAAATTTAGAAGCAATGGGTGATGCGATGTTTACGTGAGTCACAAACACGGTGGTCTGGTGGACGGTATAAGACATTCGGCTGCACTCTTGTGGGATATTTTCGTTTTACATTCGCGTATTAATCGCTGTACCCGGAACGAGACGAAAATTAAAGGCAAAACTTCAGAAAGGAAGAAGAAAAAGCAGATAGTAATAAATATTGAAGACATTCTTGCATTCTCTATATAAAAATCCATCTAACTCGTAATTACTCGTAACAATATTACTTAGCGGGAATATCGTTCAGCTAAGAAACGCTCGAAAAGAGATTGCGGTTATTTTTTTTTTCGTTTTTAGTAAATATTTAAGAAGAAAAAGCGGATGGAACAATAAATTATAAAAATACAAAATTTCTCTCTAGCGAAAATTATAAATTTCGGCGTTCACTATGTCAAGCACCCGAAGGGGAAAAAAATCAATCTACGTTATAAAATTCCTCGTGGAGATTCTTCGATTATGAACGGCATATCAATCAATATATCGATTCATTTATTTCGCTATCAATGAAATGTATTATTTCTTTTATGAATATTAAAAAATACAAATTATGAAGCGAAGGAAGGAGGAAAGTTCTCTACTTGCTACACAAGTTTCTCCTTGACTCTCTTCTACACAATTTGCTTATTTAGATCAATAAATGGCTCGTGGTATAACCGCCGAGAGAGTGATCCTCTCGCATTCACCTCTCCGTCCCGACGGTATATGTACAATATTCGGAATGTAGAATTAAGATTGAAACGGAGGATACAACCGCCGAGAGCGCGCGATGTCCCCCGGACGGATCCGAATCCTTTCTCTCGGGAGCGCGGAGGAGAGTTTCTCTCGCTCTTCCGTTTCTATTAATTCTACATTCCAGATAAATAATAGATATACCCTTTGCGGTCGTATATCTGGTGACAGCCGCCGCAAGAATTTCTTTTTTTTTTTTAATTCCGTTCCGGTTGTACGTCGGGTCTCAGCCACGCCACGCTTCGCCGGCAGTGTTTATTTTTGCCTAGCCGTTGAAAATGGGCAACGGAAGCCGTGTGATGCTTCGATGCAGCGAGGTATCGTATTCTGTTTTTTTTTTTTTACATTTTTCTCTTTTCCCCTTGCCAAAAGCATGCCTTCGGAATTGCCTAATGGAATTTATATACGGGATTTTACAGAACAATCTTTGATTATAGGTGTGTATACACGCCGCGTCGTTCGCTCCAAAATTAATTCCGACCAGTTGTGAGAGATACCCACGTCTGAGTACGCTACGACCGCAAATGGTTAATCCAAACCTCCGGCTCGCTTGGTCCCGTTGGTTCGTAGGTTACAATTCCTCCGGTCCTCCTCTGCAACCCACCATACGAGAAAAAAAAAGAAAAAGAGACACTAGAGATTGGCCGGTTCGATCGAACGGGATTTGGGATTCACGAAATCGCGATCTCGGCTAATTCCGTCGAGTTTGCCGTTTTTTTTTGTCGATCTTCTGACACACTTCGCGCACTCAAAACGGCCCCGTATCATTTATGCCAATAATTCTCTTGCGTTTGCAACGTTGTAAAAAATATTGATCAGATCTCTTTCTCACGTAAATAACATTTATCGTAAGCATTGCGCGTTTGCAAGACTTCGTTATTATTACGAATTATGCTAAATGCGCGATTTTCATGTAAAATAGAAATTAAGTAGGGCACATCAGTGGAGTAAACCGATATTTAATGTAGCACCTGAATCTCGCGCTATGTTTTAAACTTGCTCATATACATATTTGTTGTACTAAACGCATTTGCAAGTTTCATTTTATGTCTTGTGCACGGCATAAGTATTAAACACGCGAAATTTAAACTCGTCGTATATATACCTACAAGAGATTATTTAGATACAAATGGAAAACAAACTATTTGCAATCGGAATTTTGTAAATTGTGATTTACGTTAATTTTCTAATCAGCCGTTTTTGTCATTCAGCCTGCATTGTTTGCAAATCCGTATACGAATAACTATCTTTATTGATATAAATTTAAAAACAATTAGCAGGATCAACTTTGCCTTAAGCAATTTTCAGATAAGTCATCTAAAAGTTGAAAGTAAAATTCATCGCGTGATTTGGTCTTTCGTGAATAAGGGTAAACTATAAAACTCGGGATAAACGAATACGATAATCTATATAAACGTGCGTGTTTCAAATACAGTTATTTGTCGAATTAATTTTCCACAGTTAAACTTATTAAACTTGGTCAGATTCATAAGTGGCCCATATATAAAAGAGAATTCTCAAGCTGCAGTTTAAACAGTGTGCCAATTGCAACATATATTTTAATTATTTTTTATGTGTATAGAGAGAGGTATCATGTACCTCCCGATTGCGTACCAGATAGACTAATGAGTTAAGTAAAAGTCGAGCTCACGATTCGTGCAAAACACCTCAAGGACTGAACGCCTTCGAGTTACCTGTTTTCGTGGCGAATGGATCCTTCGGATGATTCGTCTTAATGGCGTTCATTCTCCGGTTCTGCGGTCCTTGGCCGCCGCCAGTGCATCCGACGCCGGGCGTTTGGCCCATGCCGAGGCCGTGGGGCCCAGTGGTAACCGTGCCCCCGCTGGACTGCATGTGCGACATTTGCTGGCCGCATCCTGGGGGTCCGACGGTCCCGGGCCCGCCGGCCACGCCGGGCGGCGCGCCGGGTGCCCTCACACGTGGCTGTTCGACCGGCAATACACGGCGTCTCTTCTTCGGTAGCTTGGCTCGCGCCTGCGTGTGACTGTAATACATCGCAAAGTTGCTAACGATCACGGGCACCGGCAGGGCGATTGTGAGGACACCGGCCAGTGCGCAGAGTGCGCCGACGAACATCCCGATATACGTTTTCGGCACCATGTCCCCGTAACCGACGGTGGTCATCGTCACCAGGGCCCACCACAAACCAAGGGGTATGCTTTTGAAGTCGTTCTTCGGATTGTTCTGGGTGCGCTCCGCGTAGTACACGAGGCTAGCGAAGATGACAATGCCGAGGATGAGGAAGAACACCAGCAGCGTGAGCTCCTTCGCCGAGGCGCGAAAGGTCTGTATCAGGATCTTCAGGCCCGAGGAGTGGCGGGTGAGCTTGAATAGCCTCATTATGCGTATGATGCTCAAGAACTCGAGGATATCGGCGTTCTCCAGGTGGGCCGCGAACTGCTGCAGCGCCAGGTCGACGTAGAAACTCAGGGTCGCGACCATGTCGATCACGTTTACCGAGCTCTTGATGAAGTTGCAGCGGTTCGGACTCGCGGTAATGCGTATCAAGAACTCAAGGGTGAACCAGGCGTTACAGATGCATTCGATGTAAAAGAAGACATCGTGGGCATTCGTGCGTGCCTTTTCCACCGACGAGGACGTCACGTTGTCCACCTTTACTGAACGATTCGTGATCACCGGCACTCGCATGTCCGGATGGGTTTTTAAGCAAAACGAAAGTATCGAAACGCAGATGAAGAAAACGGAGACTATACTGATTATCTGAAAGATCCAGACATACCATTAACTTGTAAATGTTGCAGAAAACTTCTTATTACGATATGAAAAAGAAACAAATATTATATACGTTAAATAAAGTTTAACAAATATTATATACGTTAAATAAAGTTTAATAGTCGGTATATTAGTAGAATATTAGTTAAAGTTAGTTTTAGAATTATAGGAAACTTTGTTATGGCATATTATATAAATACACACAATAAATTTATATTCGTTAAAATTTATAGAAAATAAAATAACAAATATTAAATATATATTAAATATATTTTTTTTAGTAGGAAGCGTTTAATAATTTTGCGCACAAATTAATATTTAAATAAGTATCAAAAGTATTTGTCCCTAATATAGCCCATATGTCAAACTCAAATCGTACCTTAGCTGCAACGGAGGAATAGGGTTCATCGAAAAGTGACCACATCTGAGGCTTGAGCTTCTGCCACCACGTGAGAGTTCCCTCGTAGTACGCCTCCTCGAAACCGAATTTCCTGGCCAGCTCCTCGTCGGTGGGCTTCTCGGTGTCAAGGTCCAACCTGTCGAGGACCGTCAGCGTTTCCTGCGTATCCCGGTGCTGCAAGGGCGTCGGGGCGAAGGGGATGGCGAAGAGAGACAGATGCAACAACGATTGTTATTCGTACCTGCGAAACTCTTTCTCGAGTGTGCTTTCTTTCGTGCTTTGCCTTGGGACAGATAAAGCGCGCGTGAAAAGCATACGCGAGCCGTTGTGTGCTTCCTCGCATTGAATGACAAAGAAATCTCTGCTCGGCGATCAGCCTTACCGGCGGATTCGTCCGATGTGTTGCACGTACGTTTACTTGAGTCTATCCCACATCGCTCTATCCCAACTATCCCAGTTTCTCAGATTCTATTTGCTAATAATATCCTTTTAGACTACATACTTATTGGATCACGCATTTCGTTCATTTTTTTCATCAATCTCTAAGATGATAAAAGAGAAAATGTATTGGAAAAATATTGATTTTCTTATTAATACTTTATCTATCTTCTTGTTTCGTTTTTTTAATCTATCTTTATCTTTATCTTTTTATCTTAGAGATATTATTAAATAAATGATCCTATATAGTGTAGCCTCCTACTGAAATCAATTTAAGTAAAATATATCATGTAAGATCACACACTTTTTACTAAATAGATTCTAGAAATAAAATGGCAAATTAAAATTATTTACCATTGAAAAAGAAAGCATTAATAATTAAAAGGCACTTGGGTGAAGGGACGTTAATTTTGTGCATTAAAATCATTGCAAATTTAGCGTGATAGTTAAAGACGTACAGTACTTTCTGACAATCTGATAAATTACCGACGAACTTTTCCAACATATTTGGTAGGTCATTCCAAGAAATTACACATATCACGAGCCTAATTCCATTCATCATTTTGATCTATTTAAACACGCTGGAAAGGTTTACTGGCTACCTGCATGGCCAACCTGTATTTCTTTAATCCCCGTAAATATATATAACGTACTGTACGTCACATTATACACAAATACGCGCGTCCGTTTCGCTGATCTTGCGTGCAGCCACGCTTAGGCGTGATTAGGCACGTGCACGAGTCAGACATTATTCATGATATACCTGCGTGTAGGTCATCCAACAGCACGGCTCGACCTGATTCGAGTCGAGCCCCCAGAAATCGAGCTCTTCCTCGAAAAGCGGGCCGCACACGTCCGTGGGGTAGTGCAGCTTCCCGGTGCGATAGTAGTTGAGTACCTGGGCGAAGACACCCGGGTGCCTGTCGAAGAAGTACTCATTGAGGATCGGGTCGTAGTTGGCGAGGGCCTCAGTCAGCCTCGAGAGCCTCGTCGCCGGGATCTTCTTCAGGGTCGCCTTGTACGTCTCGTGCCGGATTCCGCCCACGTTCAGAACCACGCGGTTCTCCGCGTCCATGTTAATCAAGTTCATTTTGATCACGGCTCTGCTACCGCCGGCCCCGACTTAAAGAAACCCATGCGATCTGCGAACAATTAGCGCTTCCGTTGCGTGATTCTAAAATTGGAATGTGGGAAAACCGTCGTTTTCCCCCCGTCGCGCAGACCTTATCGATTTTATCCGATTAACCTTCCTAAAGCTCAATCAAGGTTGATGCAATTTACACCCTTGTAAACTGAAAATTAGCTTATTTAAACAGAAATTAGCTTTGAATCAATCGATCTTAATTTAAATCTTGTTTGGAGCGTGTAACGTGATTTCTAAAATAAAGCTCGAACGCTCAAGAGAGTTTTATTTATTAAACGCCGACGCGCGCGATCCGCTTTCCTGCCCCGTTGAAACGCGAATAATTCATTAACATTTTGTTCGAATTTATTGCAACAATATCCGATTATTCGCGCAGCTTGCACAATTCAAATTGAAATGTAAAGCGTGCCATTTATGAATCTTACTCTTCGTCACGTTATAAAATCGCTCGTCCGCTCACGTGCGCGGATGATAGTGCCTAAAAGGATCAAGCGAAGCATTCTACGCGCGTAATGATTTTATCGTAATATATCACCCCCGGTTTTACAGACCGGTTGCTTTGACATCCCTGTAATCTCATTTGGATTACACGCGGCGTAGCCGACGGAAAGTGTCATAATGGTGTCATTGCTTCAAATCCCCCCTCCCCCGCGTTTCAAAGACTGACGACGGACGCGCAGGATCGGAATGAGAAAGCCGCTCTATTTAACATTACTCATGTTTAAATGTCACGATAATTGTGACATTTCACATTTAATCCCTCATAGACCGATATCACATGTTTAGGAATATGTGCTATGCAAACATCAACTTTACAGATTGCTCCGGGCTCTTTAAGTCCCGGTATCTCTGCAGGGAGGATTGCATTCATCCAACTTTTTCATCTCGCGTTCGCGGATGCGGCGAACAGGAAATGCAATGCGGTGAGAAAAATAATTCCTACCAGGGACACGGCACGTTAAAGCTGTCGTTATGGAACATAAAAAATTACGCGGTTGCGATTAAAAAATATGAGAGATATCGACGTATCACGAAGGATTAAATTTTAGAGTTTTAAAAATTTTAAGTTACAAATCGTTAAAACACTTGTAAGTATTTCATGGTAATTGTCTCGCTCAACGTGAACGTATTCGCGTTTATCAAGTTTTCGGACTAATTATGTTTCGTTAAGTTATTTATACGCAAACGTCTCTCGGGCAAGACATTTTTAAGTAACCTTCCCCTGACATCTGCATCTACCAATTATGCGCGCCACTGCATCGATAAACCGGACGTGTTTTAATATAAAAAGATAATATTTCAGTTTTATTAAAAATAATATTTTCACTTCTAAATCCAATCTGAAGAGACAAACAAACATCATCATTCTCTAGTGCGTAATTAAAAAAAACAACGCGTCAATTGATAACCGCCAATTAAGCAGAAATAAAAATTTTCAGATTTCAATGAACAGCCGCGAAAATTATATTTTAAGCTATAAAAAAACAGATTATTATTCATTATTATTATTTATAAAGGAAGAAAGTATTAAAATTATATTAGATTCATTTCTCGATTTAAGTAGTATTTCTTCTTGTGTTACACGGTAAGAACAATTTTGCTGAATAATGTATAATTTCAGGTTTGAAAATAGTTCTGTTGACTATCCAAATACTTATATTAAAAACTCAATATTGATGAGAAATGCTGCAAGAAATTTTGATATTCTAGCAGTCGATTTGAGTTTCCAACATAATTACTTTATTGATTCAACAAAATTTTATTTTCAGATCTAGCTAAATTTTAGTATCTTTCAGTAAAATCGTCCTTTCCATACATTTAGATTTTGCGGCTACCCGAAATAGCCAAGCTTGAAAAACGTTCACGAAGTGATCCGTATTCTAAATGTTTGCCCGTGTAATCTCTTATACCGCGGCAAAAAGCGGAACCGTATAAAGAAGGAAGGCACCGCGTGCAAATCAAAGGGACAGGTGTATCGGTTTTTCAATCCCGCGCGCTGTCGCTTTGTATGCCGACTGTGCAAAGTTGTAACAGTTATAAAGGCTAACAATGTCGCTCGCGACTGTCCCTGACGAGTGTCGGAGCTGTCCGATTATCAAATCACGCGCTCGGGGATGCGTCATGTCGAGCGCGGACCACCTGCCAGATACAAAAGATACACGGATCGGACTCCGCGGCGCGCGCTATCAGGCACGATGTGTATAACGGCGATCGCTGTGCGAGCGAGGTCGACGTGCCCGAGTCCTCGAATTAGCGCGCATGGACGCGATTCTAAATCAACCCTGATCGCCAACCACCGGCTGCAACGGCAGCGGCAACGGCAGCGGCGGCGGCGGCGGCGGCGGCGGCGGCGGTGGTTGGCGGCGGCGGGGACGCGGGCGGCGCGGCGGGAAACGTCTAGCAACGACGAAATCCGATCGAATCTTCGAGGTCGGGGCGCATTCCCGTGACGTCATCCGCACGTATTTTCGCACGTGCACAGAGAGCAGAGAGCGGCATTTCGGATGATCGACCGGATGAGGCGAAACCTGAGAGGGCGCCCGTTTCTTCTTACGCAGGCCGAGCCTAACGAGGGGTTTGTCCGCGGCCAGGCTACAAATTAGCGTCAACGGAACTCGAACGGCGGCACGGTGACGGTGGCGGTGGCGGCGTCAGGCGGCGTCGGCCAGCCCCTTGTCGCGCGAGAATCGATAGTTCTGCGTGCACGAGAGGCCGATATTGCGCCCCGTACGCTCGTCGACATTACCACCCGCGGCTCCGGGTTTTCGGCTTCGCTTCCGGCGGGAATCGCGTGGGCGCCGAGATACGTATGCGGGGGATCCCCCGCGGCTAGTACCGCTCGTCGGACCTGGCTCCGCTCGGATTTCACGGCGAAATTCGGCCGAAACTCGCGATCCCGGTTGCCGGTTGATGACGAGGACAATCGAGAGAGAAACGGGCTGATTTCAAGAAATCAATGAGAGCGTCGGACTGAACGAATGTTGGAAAATACTAGAGTAGGTCAGGCTTAATCGACTGGTTCAACGGGGCGGCCCGATAGTGACGTGAGCGATCGCGCTGAATAGGCGAACGATTTGCAACCCGCAGCAGGACGGACGCGCGTCATCGGCCGAACGAGATAATTCACAAAGACTCAAGACCCCTAAGGGGTCTCAAACGCATTCCCGAACACTCGTGGGGTTGGCGCGTGTTCGCGCTCCCTCCTCTCCCCCCCTCCCCTCTCACCAAAGCATCCCAAAGGGATGCCCTCGTGATCGACACGTTTCCACTCGGACACGCGAGCGTTTCGTTTCCCTCGACCTTCGTTCACGACCTAGTAGAGATTCTCCCTCTGAAAACGTCTCTCCTTCTCGAAAACTGGCAAATACCCACCCTCGGTCGCGCTCTCTTCATGTCTCGGAGATCTTCCGCGACATCTCGACGGCACTGCTCCGATTCCTCGCTTTCTTCATGTCGCCGAGCTGCGACGATGGCGATAACTTAGCTCCGCGAAGATATATAGCGAGTTGATCGGGCGATCTCGTACAATAGGCACTATATGTTGTCCTGCGTGCTACGTCCTGGCGTTCGCACGAGCACGAGTCTCCCCTCGCTCGACTCTTCTCTCGTTCTCTCTCCTTTTCTCTCTCTCTCTCTCTCTCCCTCCCTCAACCCTCTCTGACTCACTTTCTCTCTCTTTCTTTCTCTCCCTCTTTCTGTCTCCAGCGAAAGGTCAGGTCAGGCAGGGAACGCGCCGCGAAGGCAGAGGGCGTTTTCCCCGTCGCCGTGTTCGCGAATGGATCATCGGCGGAATGGTCGGGCCTTCATCGCGAACTGCCACCCCGACGCCGTCATAGACGGCCCGTCATCGTCGCCGGCTTACGTCGTCCCACCGTGACCGACCGACAGGCGGATGTGGCTCCGAGGCTGCGGCTCGGCTGCGGCTCGTCGCGCGCGTACGGAACTGAGATCGCGAACGAAAGCGACGTCGTCTCTGCCGACGAAGGACGGCATCGGCGGCAGCGCGCGGCGGCGTCGTCGTCTAGGTGGGGGTTGGCGTCGCGACGGCGACGGCGTGCGGAGGTTGAGCGCGCGCATCCGCTTCGTATACGCGGCGTTACGTCGCGACGAGACCGCGTCCAAGTGGCCCTCGAGTTGAAACCGAGTTGGTGACCGAGACGATGACTTAAAGTTACCTCCGGAGTTATCAAGCCGAAGTTACATCCTTGGGTCTCTTTATTCGACGACCGTGGTCATCTCGAAATATACTTATATATTTGTATGCCAGTCATGGTCTATACGCTGTTATCTTATATATATTTCACTATTGCACAGGATGTAAATTATTTGTGTTCAGATGTTAAAACGGAATGTAAACATATTGCATAACATTTTACAAAGAATTCGTGATTTTTTTTACGTGGGCTTCAGCTTGTTACGGTTTATCTTTCTTTATGGCTACGATATTAATCCTCTGAATATTGCAATTTTATCTTCATTATTTGATAATACAAAAAGTTGTTTAACTGACTTCTGAAACATATGTTTGGTAAATCAAAATTGGATAATAAAACTTGCCTGATTTAAGCTCTAAAATTTAAGGTAATAGAAGCACAGTGTGTGTGCTATATATAAAATATGCAATGTTATATATTTTACTTGCCTAAATTTGTTCAATGAAGTGTAATATTTCCTCGAAAACAAAGGTTTGTATGAAATGAAGAATTGTTTTGTAATTTTGACCTATTCTTGCACGAAACATTTTTATCTTTGTACAAAATATTTTTTTAGCGGCTATAAACGTCAGTATTTAATTAATATGTGCAAATCTGAATAAAAGATTGGGTATCTAATAGATATTTCATTAAATATTCATTAGGCGTGTGTGCGGTATGGACGTAAGTCTCCCATATGTAAAATTAATAAAATTCGATATTATTGGATTGCGGATTATCCGTATGGTTTGCCTGTATGAAATTCATGATTATCTCCTTATATAATTTCTCTTATATGATTTAATATATCGATTTCTATCTGAAATTAACCGTCTGTTTCCCCCAAGGCCTCGTGCGCGATTAAAATCGTGCGAGTTAAAGTTTTTGCTTTGCTTTTAATTTAATATATATCAAATACAACGAGACTTAAGTCAATTACGTGAATATCCTCTTTTTAGGTCACGCGCGATCATTTTCTTTCACTGCCCCTTCGATTTAACTTTCTACGAGATTGCGATTTTTCGCCGTGAGACGATCAGTACCCGTGGAAAGGATCGGAATTATCCCTGTCGTTCCACGCTTTTTACAGCCCATAAAACGTCTGTCTTCGTTCTATTCTTCTTTTTTTTTCTCTTCCCCTTTTCTCCTTTCCCATCTCTATTCCACATCGCGCGATATACATAAATGTGTAAAAGGAGGGCTCTACAGTTATCGATAGTAAGACCATATTGACTGGTTTTACGGATTCTCTTTAATTTATATGATAAAAATGATCGCATCGTATCGATCATACGTTTCATTAACTCGGGAACACGCCACTCGTTTTTTATTCTTTGGTACAATCTGTTCCGGAATAACGGAAAGTATTTGACAAATCTCTTCATTTATCTTCTTAACTTTTCTCTGACTTTCTCCTCATCATTGTCTTATAAATCAGACAGTACTGAGAAAATTAAAATCAGATGAAGTATCTTTATTATCATAATCTTTGTTTATAAATAAACAATTAGAATAATGTACATGAAGCAATCGATATATTTTGCGGATGCAAATGTCGTATTACTTTTTAAAGTCTCGAATTATGACTTTATTAAAGATATCCGAAGAAATAATTCTCTCTACGACATATGTAAACTTTTAAAAAATATATATAGGTAAAAATATTTAAATTATACATTTTATGTATCAAAGAAATTCTTAGGATGGATATTTAGCGAGTCAACAAGATTTCAAAGTATAAGTATAAATAGTATCATATTTTTTTAGAAAAACCAATATTGTACATAAGTAGGTATAAATCGACAGAATAAGAAATTACATAAAGAGTTTTAGATTAAAATCAAAATCATACAGATTTCCATTTGTCTCTAATTAAAAATATTACCAAATATAAACTTGTATACAAAATATTTTTTTTCTATCTTTATACAACTACGTAATTTATGCGAATTAATTTGACAAATAATAGTAGACGGACGATCGTTAACCAGTCAACGATAGCAGCTCTCTTCGGAGGATCAGAGTTATCGGTCACGATGACTCGAGCATTTGACGAAAAGGGCCGTGGCTGAAGATTGTCGGGTGAAGTAGAAAGATGTGCAAATACTTGTTATACGAAGTAGAAATACGATGCTCGTGCGTACACGAGGTGTCGCGTTTACGCGACATGTCTCACGTGTGGGTTATAAGATATGGTCCCGAGGCCGTGCGGAGAGTGGGTTGCTCCGCTCGAGTGGGGTCGTTCGCTACTCTCAAGCGAATTTCTCCACCGGTCGATGGCTTACGCTTGCGCGCTACTGCCTCTTCAGGGGCAGCCTTACTCCCGGAGTTGTATACCGAATTTACGCCGTGAGAACAACCCTGACACTCACCCATTAGCCGCGAGTGAAGAGGATTATCGTTCGATAACCCGAAGATAATACCGATCATCCGCGATACTATCTCGAGACACCTCGTCCTCCTTTGTCCGCTTCGAAACTTTCTGTAACTCGGTGTCGAAGCTTATAAACTTATTTTCTCCCACTTTCTTTATTAAAAGAGTTTACGTTAATTGTTTGACGAATAAATTGTGCGGACAATATCATTATATCCGGATAATCGATAATTGGCAAAACTGTTTTCGCGAAACTTTCTTTACTTTCAAAGAGAAGAAAACGGCTTTAGTTTTCTCATTCTTTGACTACAAATTTGTTTTACAGATGTTTTTTTCTTATTTTACATCCTACATATTTAACAAGTAATTTTATTGCTACTACGAATCGTAATCCTACAAAGACGTACTTACTGTCTCTCTGTCTTTATCGATATTTCTGTTTTTGTATCAACTGTTTTCTGATATCATTACAATGGTATCAGAAATGGCTATATAAGCGGATATAAGTGGCATTTCGTCCTCAAATCCCTGAAGATGCATTTTGCTATCAAATTGATTGACTGTATTTCTATTTCTGATCTCATATTGACTGAGGTTTCTGTCCGATCCAGCTGAAATATCTATGCTGCAATGTAATAAAGAGTAAATAAAATTGAATGCAAAAAGATATTTACAAAACAATTTGTGTAAAAGAAAAATATATGATTTTTATAATAACTTGTGATAGTATAATACATCTTTTAATCCAGTGTTGATTGATCGAGGTGTTAAGTTCATTATTGATTTAGAGGCTGAACTCGGTAGAAGTTGGTAATCCTCGTTGTCAACATAATTCTGATACGGCGACCTCGTTTGTCTTGGAGAAACCGATAGAAATCTTCTTCTTTGCTTCGGTAGCTTGATACGCGCCTGAAAATTTTACTTTTTCATGTACCTGCACGTTCAATTTTTATATAAAATTAATTTTAATTTGATTTGGATTTTATTTTGAGATAATTATAAATTAATAATCATATACGGCGGATATAATCAAGTACCTGCGTGTGCGAGTAAAACATGGAAAAGTTGCTGACAATGACCGGAACCTGAAGAACGATGGTCAGAACACCGGCGAGAGCGCACAGTCCGCTGATGAACATGCCGGGAAAAGTTTTCGGTGTCACGTCGCCGTAGCCTACAGTGGTCATAATAACTAAGGTCCACCATAAACCTCGCGGTATGCTGTCAAAATCATTGTTGGGATTGTCCTGCAAAGTGTGGCAATTATGAAAGGCCAAAATATAATTTTAGTACAAATTTCGCGAGATCGTGAATAACTTAGATTTAATCCCCGTTTTCGAAGATCAGAGATGCCAATTGATCTAGCAGAAAATTTTCAATTTTCATTGTTGGAATTTTCCTGAAAAAGTATGGCAATATGAAAAGTCAGAATATAATTTTAGCATCTGACAAATATCGCGAGATCGAGAATAATTTAGATTTAATCCCCGTTTTTGAAGAGCAGAGATGCCAATTGATTTATAGTAGAAAATTTTCAATTTTCTTAAATTTATTTTACTTTATTTCTATTTTTACTGTTGATTTATATTCACGCGATCCGCGTTGTTACACGCAAAAGAGAGTCGAAATGAAAGTCCATAAGTCGGCTGGGGTTCTAAGAATTTCTTTTTACTGGAAGTCTGAACTCTGCACAGCAAATTCTACCGTAAAAGTCTCACCGCTTTATTTAAATTCGCACTTAGAACTATGCTCTTAAAATATTTAGCTTTATCCCTCGTGAAACTAGAAGTTAAAATGTACCTGCAGGCGTTCAACGTAGAATATGAGACTGGCAAAAAGTACGATCCCCAGCGCGAGGAAGAAGACTAGTAAGGTCAACTCCTTGGCGGACGTCTTAAAGGTGTGAATAAGGATTCTAAGTCCGGGCGAGTGCCTCGTCAATTTGAATAGTCGTAGAACACGCGCTACTGACAGGAGCTCGAGATAAAGGTTCGGTTTTGTCAGAAACTCCGTAAAGAAGCTCGTCGTCGCTATCAGCTCGATTGTATTGACCGGCGACATGGCGAAGTGCCTCAGGCTGGGACTTACCTGCAATTAAGTTACATAGTATCGTAGTTTTCACTACATTACCCATCACGCGGCCGAAGGTAACTCGGTTTATCAATCATAAATTAAAAGAATTAGCATTATAATAGAATATTACGGCAAAAGTAAAGAGAGATATATATATACATTATTTCTCGTAGAATAGAACTGAAACACTCGGCAAAATGTAATTAACGGTGAATTAAATGAAAGCAAATACAATAAAATCGTACAAGACAGCGGAGCGTTATTTCCATAGTGAACCAAGCATTACAAGCGTATTCCAGGTAAAAAAACGCTCGGTGAGGATCAGTGGCAGTTTCAATATTTAAAGGGTCTCCCCTCAATTTTTCATAGTCGTGTTTATTCCTCGGTAATCCCACTGGCGCGTGATTTTTCACGCAGAAACAGAATACCGACAGACAAATGAAGAATATCGATACGCAGGCTATACATTTGGCCTCTGCCGAAGAGTACGGCTTGTCGAAAAGTACCCAAATGCGCGACCGTAATCTTTGCCATCTCGTTAAAGTCCCTTTACGATACTCGTTCTCGAAATCGAAAAGCCGAGCGATTTCTTCGCCGCTGAGCTTTTCACCGTCGACGTCGAGCTTATCGAGGATTGTCAAGGTGGCTTGCGTATCTTGATGTACGTTATACGTCGACCAACAACACGGCTCTATCTAAAGAAAGTCATCTTAATTAAGTGATTATTAATGTACTCCATACGAGCAATATAATTATTTATAAATAATGTCAAATTGTTTCTATATGAAGGTCATGTAAAACAACATGTAAAGAGATAATTATTTTAGAACCTATATAGAAATTAATTTCTATATATAGATTTGAATTTTTCTGTTTTACATTTGATCAAGTATCTGCGAAATGATGATTTTTCTTACCGTTCTATTAATTTTTTCAAACCTTTAATTTTTATGCATGAAAAAAAATAAATAACTTTAATTTAAAAGACTGATTAAAACGATGTTTCAGTAAAAAAAAATTTTTTTAATCTGATTTTTTCAGAAAAACTGACGCTAATTACAATTACTATTTTAACAAAATAAATGAGAAATTAAATTTACATTAAAATTAATCGCTGATGCGTCACAGATTGCAAGCGTGATTGGAACTGCTTTAAATAATTGACAGAATATTGACATAAAATTATTGGATTTTATATCTATAATATATATACTTTACAATATTAATGTCGTATGTATATTCTATTTTACTGATATTATTTTTCAATACATATAGATATATAATTTGCAATTGATGAATTAACAAATAATAATTGTGCAATTTATTTGGAGCGAAATATATTGAATCAAAACCTGGTTCGAATCGAGACCCCAAAATTCCAATTCCTCTTCGAAGAGCGAACTGCACACGTCCGCGGGATAATGCAGCTTTCCGGTGCGATAATAATTGAGCACTTGCGCGAAAACATCTGGATGCCGGTCGTAAAAGTATTCATTCAAAACCGGATCGTAATTCGCTAACGCCTCTGTTAACCGTGACAATCTGGTCGCTGGGATTTTCTTCAGCGTCGCTTTACACGTCTCGTGTCGAACACCACCCACGTTCAGTGTCACCCGATCGTTCCATTTTCCGTCTTTCATTTTTTTTCCGCCCTATATATGCTCCTCCACGTAGAATATGCAGAAAGGGATATCCCGTTTGAAGAGGGACTCGCAAAATTTCAAAGGGGCAACTAAGTAAAGCGTCGTGCTATTCGACATCGATCTTTAATAATATAACTAATAAGTAATTTCTGTGAAATATTATTCGACGAATTTTACTTTTGCACACTTTATCCAAGCGTAAATTTCCGCGAGAATCTCCAACGATTTAGAGAGGAAATACCGAAAACGAAAAAAAATTTTTTTTTTTGCAGTTGCGCACTTTACATCAGCGAGGTTCGCTTGATAACTATTCGACGCGATAACTATTCAGTGCGCGAGATCATAAGGTTCAGTAAAAAGGAATAAGCTGCGCCGCACATACGCGCTTTCCCGTTCTATAAATTCACGCGTGTTTATTTGTACGCCACACCAACTCCGTTTGTTCAGCTAGAAATGCAAAGTCACGTAATAGCCGGACAGTTGTCTCGTTCGAATTCTGTTAAAGTGGTAAAAAAATCAACGTAGATCTCTTTTATATTTTCTACGTATCAGAACAATATTGTCAGCAATAATTCGCTACGGGGCATAATATTGACTAGATGTCCGTAGAACAATTACAGAATTGCAGAATTATATATCTACAGAATTTTATCTATAGATATATAAAATTATCAAATAAAACATTTAATCTTTACGAGTTATTGATTATATAAAATAAACATTTACATTATCTTCGGATCAATTTAGACTATTTAAAATTTGCTATTGAAATTATATACATATAGATTTTACATACATACATATATATACATGTATAAATATACATATAAGAAAAGAGTTAAAAGACATTAAACGTACGCTTTAGAAATATTTGACGCTTTCAGAAATATTTTCACAGATAATATTGTGTTATAATTAATGATTCAAAAATATAATATAACGTCACTCTATAAAGTTCTCGAAACATTTTTGAAAGATTTTTCGATATTATCAGTGATAATAATTCATTCATTATTATAGTTGAAAAAAATATAGTTATAATTAATTTATTTTTGTTATCAAACATATCTGTAATTTTAATACATTTATATAATAATATATAAAATATGTATGTATCTATAATTTAAACTGTAATTCCTATTATACATTTGTTTTTATGCTTCGATATGTAATAATTATGAAATTAAAATAATATATATCCTTTTGTAATCTGAAATCAGCCGGTACATGTGATACCTGCATCGATTTTATATACAGATACGATTTGTCATACGTGCGACCTCTCTGTATCAGCGAAAGAACTAAAACGTGTGTATAAAATGTTTAAAAACATTTACATAATGTGAAATTAACATATTATAAACATACGATAATAATATATGCACAATAAATATACGATACACAAATTTTACTTTTGAAAGCAACTCTGATTAATAAGATTTTTTATTTACATATTAAAATTAAGATTAACAAAAAAAAACAGTATCAAATTAATTTGATATAATCCCAGTGCCAGATTTATAAATTGGATTAAATGAATAAACGTTAAATTAATTAAAATAACATTCAAAAATACGTTACAAAAATAAGGCTGAAAATTTAGCAAACGAATAAACAAGTTAAATAACTCGATAAAAAGATAAGATAAAAATTCTATCTTTCGATAGAAAACTATGTCGACCAAAATACTTAGTCGCTTGAACTTCAGAGGGTAGTTCCGGTGCCGCCACAAAGAGGGTGACGGCGGAAGGATATGGCAGGAGCTCCATCTGGTCTCGACGTGGCCGGTCTTGTACTCTTCCCTTCCCCTACCCTCACCCCTTCTCATTCTCTCCTCTCGCGCTTTTTCTCTCCCTCTCCCTCCCTCCCTCTCTCTCACTCTCTCTCCCTCTCTCTCTCTCTCTCTGTCTCCCTCTCTCCCTCTCTCTCTTCGTTTCTTCTTCTCTTCTTTACTCATCTCGTAGGTGTCTGTACTTCCGCGCGCATATACGCCGCAAAACGTAGGCGTCGCAGCTTTAAGGACAACGCTCGTCTATGACGTCATATTTGTTTCATTCCGCCGTGCCAACATGCGTCCGGCTTGTCTTTTCAATATTGCAACTGTGTCATCTCGTTTATCTCGCTCCCTCTACCCTTACCGCCGCCACCCGCTTTCCCCGCGGCCTCCTCATTCATCGCCGCGACGTGCCAGTTCCACCGCAGTGTATGTTTAACATGTCGCTTTTTTATCTTTCCTCCCAGCTAATGCCATTGTCCTATATGCACACGTGCCCGCGACGGAACGATTCTCCCGTTCATTTCCTGGTTTACCTTTGATTCCAGTGAATGCTATTAGCCTGATTATTGCTCACCTAATTATTTGTTACCATGATGTTTTAAAACGCTAAGACATTTTGCGACAGCTATAAACGTTTCGATTGACTAAGAAGATATGACTAAGTCAACACACAGTATTATAAATGAGAAAAAAATTGGTCAATTTTATATAATCATAAAAATATTAAAAGTAAATATAATTATATAATTATACATGGATGATTATATGTAATATTATATAATATAATTATAAATGTTTTAAATCAACACGGATTTATCTAATCACTTCATTATTTGACGCTTTCAACAATCTCGATAACACGAAAAGAGGGATGCTTCTTCACTCCGATTATAATATGTTCTATCGACTACGAAAAGGAATCAAGATCTTCCCATAAAATTTTCAGTAGAATAATCGCGATTGCCGATTAATTAGTTCGACAGAGTTCACCGCCGTATGAAAATAATCGGGGAAGTTACTATTTATGAACGACGTTCACCCCATCGGCATTAAACGAGACACGGATAAATATCACGGTATTAATATGTCGGATAACGAAGAGAGCGTGCTGTGCGGCTCACAAAGCGAATACACGAGTCGTGAGTAACGAAGGTTACAAATACCCCCACCGCGATCAGCTACCCCCGTCATCATCATCCCTCTTTTGCCGCGAACATCCGCTATGATTTCCCTCCCCGCTTTCAATTTCTCCCACGCTTCCACTCCCTCCATTCATCCCCCTCTATCCGTATCACCGTCGCCGCTTCTTCCACCGCTGCCTCCGCCGTATCTACCCTTCTCACATCACGCGCTCTTCCTTGCACCAGCACGCGCACCCCTCCGGTTGCGTCTCTTCCAACGCACGGGGGAGCTCGTCATCCCTCGCGTTCTCCCGCGAGGACCACCGAGACGCGTCGCTTCGGTCGTGTCCGACGTATGCCAACGTCGTCGTGGTGGCCGTCACCATCGCCGCCGTCGCGCTCGTCGTTGTCGGATCCTCCGCGGCACGTTCATCAATCGCCAGAGGAGTCTGAGGAGGAGACCGACAGATTACCGCGTATCCGTCGAGGCGCGAGTGTCGCGTAAGGACGCAGGTCGGATGGTGGACCCCGTCGTCCCGCTCGCGCGATCATGAAGGTCCCGCGGGCGCGTGACGCGCCGACGAGGTAGTCTACGAGGAGGCTGGCTGGGCCGCGGGTGCCTCTCGGTTCACCCCCAGGGCACCGAGAGTACAGGACAATTTCTCTCGTTCGTGAGGGAAAAAGCGGGTAGATCGATAGGCCAGCTGGTGGTGCGTGTTCGCGGCCGTTTTCGCAGCCAGTCAGTGTGACCCGCGCGGGGTGCGGCCCCCAGGATGGTGAAGGCACCGAGCGTGGCACCCACCGGTACTCCGGCGGGTGTCAGGAGGATTCATCCCGGCCCCGAGATCGCTATGAACCCGAGGAATCTGCCCACGGCCTCCGCGAGCATGCCGCCTGCTATGCGGGGAGATGCCAACGCTGTCGGCAGAACGACACCCGTTTATCATCCCCAGGTACCAATCGAGATTCCCAATTCCAATGATAGACATGTTTATGCGTAGCAAGAACGTGATGTATGCCCAACTGCTGGAGCATCGGGTCGTTTGCGTTGCATGGCAGTTTTCCAAAATGACATTCGTCTTTTTCATTCGAGGCACTTCTTCACTTTTGGTTATTCTAAAAATGAAATGACGCGTATTATAAATAACGAAAAATAAATAAACCGATAAATATGAATTCATAGACAGTCGTGAGACGTGCCGAAAGCTTTGGTTTTGTTTTAGCACACATCGGATTTTGTTCGCTTTTAATTCATGATTTATGAGATAGTTATTTATACAGCGGAAGAAAGTATTTAGAATTTGATTTATTGCAGCACACACAACAGCTCCATAATACAACACGTTTGTATCTGTATGCAATACATTATATAACACAATATTGATATCATACATTAAATCGAACAAAATTTTTATTTTACACCTCTCGTTCTCGTACCTATACTATGATAAGAAGAAAGTAGTTGTTTGGTAATTGAAGTTCTTTAACTACGTTTATTGCTATAATCAGATCTCACCAATCACTGACAGATAAACTTAATTGAGGAGTTGTTACATCTGACATATTTTATTAACTAATAAATATATTGGAACGGTGCGTATCTTTTTAAGTTAACTTTGATAAGAAAGTTTCTGAGGGAAATATATCTCCTTCTATATGTATATACAGTCTATTTTCTTTTCTATTATTTATTACACATCTTTATTGTTTCCATATGCTTGTCTATATATTTATCTACATGTATTTATTTCCATTAAAGAAGCAACAATTTTTGTTTATATTTTATAATATAAATATTTTGTAATTAATTAAAAAAAAATACATTAATGCTGCAACAATCAATGACAAGTTTCATTCTGGATTACACGAGTATTAATATTATCTTCTAATCGTCTTCTCATCCTTGGAGAATGAGGACATTGCTCGCGCTTCAAAATCCGTTTCCTGCGAACCGAATGTAGGTCAGTCTCCTCGAGAGAAACGCTCTCCGTTTGACGACGGCTGATACGTTTCCCTCGCCCGTCTCGTTGATCTCCGCTAAACGGAAAACAACCCAAACGAATCTCGTTACCGGAAACTGATAATAGACATTAGGCGGCTACAATGCCGTCACCATGGCGCGGGCAGGAGGTGGCGGAACTCCATGCTTAGGAAAGGAATAATGCAAGAACGGTAATGAAGTCCGGGAAATTACAGAAGTTTAATGCAGCGACTATTGCGATTTCCGATAACGTAGCTCGGCACAATGAGTTGCGGTATAGCTATGGAACTTCAATGAATGAAGCAGTTTACCGTACTCGATACGCCGAGCGATACAATTTTTAACTGCCCCGCCGAAGACAATACCGCCCCGCACGAGAACGTTTTGTTTTCTTACTTTTTTTTTTTACAAGTGTCGCTTCATGTTTCAACATCCATAATAAGTAAAATTTTCAATATTTTGAATCTTGAATATCACATTTTCAGCAAGGAAATTTGCTGGAAATTTAATATTGCGAATAAACGTTTTATCTCGAAAAGATCTTGATCGGAATTCGGAAATAATATATCTTATGCAGTCTACATTTTAATCATATATATGTGTAAAGAATAATTTTGCTGAAATAATAAAAAAAAGTAGTTAGATACAGATCTAAAAATATTTTTATTCATCAAGTCATCAAGATAATTATGTAGAATGCTTAAGCAATGCTACAAAAAGTTTTGTCATATCACGTTTAAGCAATGTCCTACGTAATTATTTTGATGGTCCAACCAAATTAATTTCAACTCTGTATCTAGCTAAATTTTTATTTTAACAAAACTTTTCCTTCCACGTTAAATGGCGGATACATTAAGAGCAAAAGTATAAAAACTTTATCATGTGATTTTAGTAATTTACAATGGTAACACAAATAAAGGTGACAAGTCTGCGTGTACGTTCGCAGTAATTTCATTTCATTTAGAGAGCGCTTTTCCTGACAGCGCTTGACAGCAATTAGTTTTCAGGTATTCTTCTTGCTCTCGCTTTATCTCACTGTGAGTCACATTCACCTCTCATTTCGAAGGACGAAATGAATTAAAATCCTTTTGTTCTCAATTTTGAGCGCAAAATTATATCAAACATGAGAAAGCGCTGTCGTCGAAATCGCCTATATCAGTTAGCTATATACCTACAAATCAGTAGTCTCGCGCACAGTGATTCCTTCGGAATTACCTACGCCTATCGCATCCGCGTAGATCGCTCCGCGCGTCAATCAACGTCCGCTGCCCGTCGGAATCGTTCCCCGGCTGCCGTTTCCGGGAATATTGTATATCCGCGCGTTTCTCTGTTCGCGACAGGTGGACGTCTCGACGCAGGTAGACCTCCACAGCGGCTTCGGCGGTCCCGGCGTCATGGACTCGTGGGATCGTCGCGCGACGCCGTTGTACTCGCGCGAGGACATCAAGGAGCAGTACTGCATCACCAGCCGGCAGCTGGACGCCGTTGAGAAGTCCGGCGGCGGTTTCTTCGGATGCCTGTCCACGAGGGGACCGTCGCCGTGCAGCTCCACCAGGAACTCCATCCTGTCGGCGTGCGTGCGTAGCGTCCCGAGCGACGAGAACCTCTGCGACGCGCCCTATCCCCGAAGACCCCTTCAGATCATGTACCGTCAGCCTTATCCGACCTATTCTCGCGGTCTGTCGCGGTACGACCTTGAAGAGGAGGCGGACTGGATCGAGAGTTCCTACTTTAGACGGCGCCCAAGATCGTTTTGCACCGTGCCCGATCCGAAGAGGTAAGTAAGAAGACAGATCGATCTCTCTCTCTCTCTCTCTCTCTCTCTCTCTCTCTCTCTCTCTCTCTCTCTCTCTCTCTCTCTCTCGCGACGATAGACTTCTCCCGTCCTGGATGCCGAACGCGAAAAACGATCGTAATTCGTCAGAGCGTCGACAAGTCGAGAATTTAGAGTTTTAAGTTCGACTACTTCAGAAAGTTGATGGCAATACATTTGTCAGTTTTCAAATATTACCATCACGATCCATCGACGACGATGAAGGCTACTTCGTCGAGAATTCACAATTACATTACGGACGCGATATAGATTTGGGTACAAACTTACGTATATTTTTTAAATCAAATATTTGGACTTGTCCGGTTTCGTTAATTATGGTAATTACTCAAGCAGTCACCGTGTGCAGTATATTATACTTACACACGTGAGATCGACACCTGCGAATAGCGATATTACCTCCGACTATTTGGCAGCCGAGTGCTTCGGATATTTGGGGCAAATTACTCCGTCGAGACGCGTTTAGAATGTATCTACTAATCGATTTATCGGTAAAGACTTTAGTAACGTAATTGATCGAAAGGCGTGTCGCAGTGCAAACGTCGGGCATGCAAGGGCAACGAAGTTGAAAAAAAAAACTCATTCTTTTGCCTGCAATGCAAATAAAAAAGTTGGAAATATAGAACATATTAAAAATAGATGTGTTTGTTACAACATTGTTAAGAAAATAATAAAATTTTTTCGCTAGAAAAATCCATTATGAGTTTTTGCCGAAAAATCCGTAACGATGGCGCGCGCTTTTTTGATACAATTTATATAACAAAAGAGTCACATCCGGAAATTTATCTTTATGCTTATTATTGATCCAAGTATCTTCTATGGTTTTAGATAGATTATATAAAAAAACGATATTTATATAGCACAACGGTGTTCCATCGACTGTTACGTGTAAAGTGCCTTCCGTGGTCTCCTCATAGCATGGTGTCTAGGGTTGGGTTTATTTCTGATTAGCATGAGTGCTGCGCCGCCCCTTTATCAGCTTTTTAAGGTCAACTGAAAGCGGTCGATTAAAAAATTATGGTTGCGCGTAAAATCGCTGTTATGTGCGGGATACGCGGAAAAAAGTCTGGAGCTAATAGATAGATGGTGTGATCATCGTAAATATAGTCTCGCGCTGACAATCTTATTTTTAAGTTTATTAATTTTTCTGTTTATTCATCTATTTTCCACGTAATTATTTTACCATAAAAATTATCGTTGTGCAGTAGCGTCGCGCTTTTAAAAATTGACGTATAACATATGTACCTGCTTCTGTAAGAGATCCATCTGATCCTCGATGAGAATGACACGTTGTCGTTCCGCTTCCCTTACGATACATCCGTAACGCGTGTATCGAACTGTATTTGCAACAGCACGACCTATATATAGGACAATCACTTGATAACGCATTTCCCATTTAGCTCACTTAATTTCCATTATTAACGCAGGCACACATTTCGTTTTAAAAGTGTACATCTCAATATCATTTAATTAATACATATTTTTAAAGTAATTGAGAAATTTCAATTATGATTATAGCCATGCGTCAATAATGATATGAATTTCATAAAAAGGTAGTAATAATTTTAACACAGATTGAATTAACCTGAATATTCTAAAGTGACAATAAATTGAATTAAAAACGGTTTAGATATTCGCAGGAGCATCCAACTCCAGAGATTTGCCGATAAATTTAATTGGGATATCGTCGATCGATAGTGCAAACCGTTGTTTAATGGCACTATAACTTGACGGTGTAATTTTTTGTTATCGCGATAGATACACTTGGGTGCCGGAGGACGAGGAATCCATGAAGTTGGAAGGTCCGCGGCCAGTGTTACCACCGATACCTCCTCCACCCGCTTCCGTGACAACGATGCAAATAACGCAAGCTCCGAAGGCGAAACACGTGAGCTTCGCGAGATCGCACACGCTCACGTCGTTCGAAGTCCCGAGGAACATAAGCCCGCCGAGGCCACATAATCCGGAACGACTTATAGACTCGCAGCCGACTATGCAGAATGTGATACTGCCATCGTCCTTGCCCTTAACGCATCCTTATCCTGGCGTTGAGCCACGTGTTCTTGTACTCGGTAAGTCCGTGTATTATAATATCGCGTACGATTGCAACAGTTTTTTTTTACACATACGTACACTCGCTCACTAAAAGGTTGCGACACTTTCTTTTTTATATAGGTTTCAAAACGCATTAATATTTTGCAAATGAGGACCACGATTGATGTTATACTGCCTTTAGACTAA